GACACCAAATAATAATGAAATGGAAAGATTGTAGTAAGAATGTAAAGTGAAAATATTGTATATATAATGTGTTAAATGTTATTTATATGCGAAGTAAGGTTTATAGGAATAGTTAGGCTATAATATAGTTTTTAGTGTGTAAAAGTAGGTGATTATTTTTATTTTTATTTTTGCTGTAAATAGTTTTATTTCGTAGGTCAAAACTTGATATAATTCTATATTTATAGTATTTATATTTGTATTAAACGATTTATCAATTTGAAAAGAACCTTAATTAAGTTATTATTCGTTGTTTAAGTTTCATTAGATAGATTTTTATATATGATTTTTTGTAAGTTTGGTTTTGTTCATAAATGATGTGGCATTTTTATCTACGGCTTCATCGACTGTGGGAATCCATTCGCCGGAGTCTAGAGTCGGTGGTAAGGAATGTTTTCAATGAAATTATAGTAGTTATTAAAATGTAAGAGAAATTACATATTCATTTAATAAAAAAACGAAAATACTTAAATTTTGTTGTTTATTTTATTTTATTTCACATACAAATTTTTTGAAAATATATTAGGAATGTGTTAAATGTTATTTATATGCGAAGTAAGGTTTATAGGAATAGTTAGGCTATAATATAGTTTTTAGTGTGTAAAAGTAATTTTTTTTTCGCTGTAATTAGTTTTTATATCGTAGGTCAAAACTTGATATAATTCTATATTTATAGTATTTATATTTGTATTAAACGATTTATTAATTTGAAAATAACCTTAATTAAGTTAATATTCGTTGTTTAAGTTTCATTAGATAGGTTTTTATATATGGTTTTTTGTAAGTTTGAGTTTTGTTCATAAATGATGTGATATTTTTATCTACGGTGTCATCGATTGTGGGAATCCATTCACCGGAGTCTGGAATCGGTGGTGAGGAATGTTTTCAATGAAATTACAGTAGTTATTAAAATGTAAGAGAAATTACATATTCATTTAATAAATAACACAAATAATTAAATTTTGTTTTTTTTTTAATTTTATCTCACATACAATTTTTTCGAAAATATATATTATGAAATATTTGCAATGATTTAACTTTTTGAGCTCTTAATCTATAGTATTCAAGTCTCATTAAGCCATCCACGTAGGCAGGCGCGTGGGACTCAATCTTTTTTAATTTTTTGGTCTGTTCGTTTTTGGATCTTTTTTTTATTATTTCTGGGTTGAGCTATATTATAATAGGATAGCTTTAAGGCTCTTTAAGTCATCTGTGTAGGCAACCGAGTGGGACTTGTTTTTTTTTTTTTTTCTTATTGTTCATTTTTGGATCCATTTAACTATTTTTGGGTTTGAACTTGTTAAGCTTTAGGGTTTATTCAACTATTTTGATCTTTAAAACAATAAGCCCAAAAAATAAACATAAAAACCTTATAAACAAAAAGTCTATATGATAATAACCCAAATCAAAAAATCAAAAATACATGATAGCTGCGTCGTTTGAACCCACAATCTTGCATGATTAATTAGACACCTTATACCACTTGACTAAAGTGTATTTCATTGTTTGTAATCATCTTACCAAGACTATGAGTTTTCAAAAAATGTCTACGGGACCCACAAAACTGCTGACATGGCGCGCTGTGGAGATTAGAAAGTCTACTATTATAATATAGATTTCTTAACAATAATAAAATAATAACAGTTATTTTTATAATTAATTTGAATTATCTTTTAACAATATGACTAATAAATAAGTTACATATAGTAAAACCTCTATAAATTAATAATGTTGGGACTTTGAAATTGTTTAATTTATAGAGATATTTATTTAGGAAAGTTTCCTTATTTAGATATTTCTTTTTTATTTTTTCCATTTTTATTTATAAAATAAAAAATATTTGATTTTAGCATATGTACATTATTTAAATTTTAGAAATTTGATTTTTATATTGTTTTATTATCTTATTTGGTGTATATTTTTATATTTCATAGAATTGTTACATGATTTTCGATATAATTTAACTAAATATTATCTAAATATATTGAAATGTTAAAAAAAAAGTATTTTTATAGTAAATATAAAACCCCTAACTAAATATTATCAAAATATATTGAAATGTTTGAAAAATAAAAGTATTTTTATAGTAAATATAAAGCTAATAATATAATGTTAGATTATATTTATATAAAATTATATATATCTAGATCATTAATTTATGATTTTAGTAGGACTATATATTTACATGACAGTTTTAAAACTATTATTATCTTATTATTTTACCGATTTGTATCATATTTTATACCGGTCCAAGTTGGGGCCAGCAAATTTTATTAATTTATAGAAATTATTAATTTATAGAGGTTATACTGTATCTAGAAATGCGTTTTACTATTGCACTTGGAGTACTTCTAAGAGAAGACGTCTCTCAACCTTATGACACTCTCTCTCTCTTACTATTACCTAATTTATTATTTCTTTTAGGAAGAACTTCACAAGAGTCTAAACGTAAAACAAAAAAAAATGTTTTCATGAACACTTTGACTGGAAAATAAGAAGAAAACAAAAAAAAAGAAAGAAGAAGAAAAATTACAAAACAGAGCACATAACCCTGAAGAATGTTGAACCAATATCCTACCACCTTTGTTTAACTATTTTAATGAAGAAAGAATAAGCTTTTCAGAAGAACTTTGAAAGCAGATCTTCACTCATTCATCTTGTTGTATCTGTCTCTGGATGCTGGGACGATCTTATCTTTATGTAATAAAACAAAAACTCTTCTTAAGGTCTGGCAAAAGACTCACTGTTATCAACAAAGTTGTTTTTTTTTATCATGAGAACCCTCTTCAAACTCTCACACTTTTTGTTTTTGTTTTTTATAACCTATGCTGCAATACCTAAAAAAAATACAGATAAAGAATTGTTAGTCTTTTCATCTAGTTTGGTGTTACGTTCAAAGCTTCCGTTGTTTTGGTTAAGACTTGAACATAATTTCTTTTGAGCTTAGAGGTTTTTTTCAACTTTTTTGCACCTCTAATTCAGAATAGCTGAAAAGCAGATTGTGGTTGCACTAACATGCAACCAAACCTTGGTTATTGCAATGATATTTACCATTTAGCCAAAAAAAAATACAGATAAAGAACATTTCTTATCTTGATCAAATGTACGAAAGTCAAACTTATTGGTTTTACCTCTATGAGTTTGTCTATTTCCAACACTGTAGCTTCCATTGTAACCTTGTGAGTCATTCACAGATGGGTCTGCTGAACCTACATTGTCAATGTCATAACCGTAAGAGCGAGACAAAGCGCCTAACTCCTCAGAAGACTGAGGTGGCAGGTGCTGCCACGTTGAGTCGCTGTAAACCGAGCTGCTACTGTACAATTCCCCTAAAGAACCTTCAAAACCGTTAAAAGGTGACACGGTAAGTCATGAGCTCGACCCAAAGCTTCTCCCAGTTCCCTCTGTTGTTTCCAACATTCACATTCAAGTTCCAGCCAGGACCTGAAGCAGCTTCGGTTCTGTTTCCCAACAAGTCCATATTGTTGGAACCGTAAGGAGTTTTGTTCTGATGTGCCCAATTGGAGAGCTATAACGGTTTGGAAAGCACCATTGAAGTAAAAGTCGATAGCTCCATCATAGCTTGGATTCAGATCAAACCAAGGCCGTAACCAGAAACCGGATTTCTACCACTACCAATAACAGGACTAAACCGACCACCAGAAGAGCCTAGATTGTTATAATAGCCAGAGCCAGGAGCAAAGTTTGTTGAAGTAACTATTAGCAGTCATCCTATGAGAGTTGCTACCACCCTAACCAGCACCAGAAAGCGGGCTCCGGGTGTTAGAAACCGGCTAACCCTCCCCGGGAGCGGCTCTTTTGACCTCGACGAGTTTGCCATTGAGCTCATGGAAAGTCTTGTGGAGAACACTATCAACAATCTGAATCATAAGTAATGAAGCCAAACCCTCTTGGCCGCTGCGTGTTATGATCATATGTTACCATAACATCAATAACTGTACCAAACTGATCAAAGTAGCTCTTGAATTCCGCCTCTGTAATGCTAGACGGTAAACCTCCTACGAAGATCCTTTTTTGTCCTGCCACCACCATGGACAGGTGACATAAGGTGTATCGGACTTGCGTGTCCTTTCAACATCTGCTTGCTGATCATCTCGAGGCACGGGCATAATCTTCAACACTCAAAACGAGACACGGAGACGGACTCATATTCATTGACCTCAATACCTAGATCTTTTCCCTCTAAAGTTCCGTTGCTATTCTATGAACACATACATCATAGTATAAATTAACCAAACTCGACGATTTGACCACAATTTTTAAAATAACTAAAAGTTTTGTCATTCGAAAAGAAAAAGATAGTTCGTCTGTTCTACAAATCCCTCTTTTGTATATTCTCCATTCAAAGCCTTGGTACAAAACTATAAAACTTTCTGGTTTGAAGAAACAAAAGCACTAAGTCAACCATTCATATTGGATGATCACCAATCCACATCAATCGGTTGGCAAAAAAAACAACTTTACTTGCTTCTAAAGCTAACAATGTATTAACTCGTCATACATACATATAACTCATTGACTCTCTCCATATATATACATGGTTAGTGGGGTTGCCAATGTCAAAGCATTTTCAAACTACGACACAGCTACAAGTAATACATGCGTGTGTTACAGTAGACAACTGCCCAAAAACTTGATATTAAATATATTGACGTGTGTAAGAGTACAAACAGAAAAGAAATGGTCGAATGCGTAACATGGCCGTAAAGAAAATAAAGTGGTATATAAATAATACTACAAGTTAAATGGTATATGATGTAAAAAGATTTTCATATTGTAAATCTACAAAAAAAAATCAATACTATCATTATGTCAAACTCAATTCTAAGAAACAATGATGCATGTAGAGATTAATGAGCATATATAACTAACTTACACAAGTTTTGTTCAAAGATTCAAATAAAATTACAGAGTCCGCTCTCTCTCTCTCTCTCTCTCATGTTTGAAATCAGTTATGAACTAAAAGGAACAAGCTGTGTATAATATCCATCTCGAATTAGGAGTTTATGTACAAACTAATAAGAAAAAAAAAAGAACGAAACAACGCATCTCAAAATGTAAAAAAATATACTCAAACCAATAGGACACAGGTCACTGTATGCATCCATTACATCATCAAGAAACAACACGACCACTTCCACTAATGTCAATTGTTTCCTACTTCTTCATCATCATCTACTATCCCATCAAAGAACGGGTCACGAAGAAGCTCAGCAGCAGAAGGCCTCGCCTTGGGTTGCCCAATACACTTCTCAATAAAGGCCTTAGCTTCTACATCCTTCACTTTATTCAGAGCCTCTGGTCTAACTCCACTACTCACCCTTTTGTAAATCTTCGCGATGCTATCGCATTCACTATACGGAATCTCAAGCGACACAAGCTCCAAAACACACATCCCATACGAGTAAATGTCAACCATCTCCGTGTACGTCTCCTCGTAGAGCTCAGGAGCCATAAACTCCGGTGTCCCGAGAACCGAGTGAGCTACATGATCCTCCGCCACGACCGCAGCTAAACCAAGATCACCAATCTTGACCTGACCAATGTTCCCATTAACGAAAACATTACTACAATTAAGATCTCTGTGGATGATACACGGCTCATGCGTGTGGAGATAATCCAATCCTTTAAGTATCTGTTTCGACCACTTCTTCATAGCTCTCATGGACACGTGTCTATGCTTCTTCCTATACTCTCTCAAGTTCCCGGAGGTGCAAATCTCTGTGATGAAGTTCAAGATGTTGCTCCTCTCGTCTCTCCAGACCTTGTACAAGGCGATGATGTTACTGTTCTCGAGGCTCTTGAGCAGCCTCACCTCTGAGTAGAGCCTCTCGAGCATGGCTTTGTCGTCGGAGAAGCATCTCAGCTTGACTTGGTTCCACGCGACTTCAATGCCTTCTTCTTGGTCAAATGCTCTGTAGACTTTTTTCACGGCGCCTGAGCCTAGGAGCTCGTCGTAACGGCCGTATCTACCGGTGGGATCTGATTCCACGAACGGCTCTGAGTCGTTATCTGACGGTTCGGAACTCATCTGTGGAAAAAAAACAGTGTGAGATTCTGATTAAAACGACTAATCAGAATTCACAAAACGGCAACAGATATTTTCAGACTTGAAATCATTTCGAACTCATAAGCATAGAATCAGCGAACTCAGTAAAACCCTAGGAGGCGGCGCAGAAATCGAATCAGGAATCAATAGAACCCTAAAAATACGGAGAATTCTCAATCAAAAGCGACATAGAAATCTTCGAGCTCTCTCCCATATCGTGTGACTAAAGTTTCAGGAGCAGAAAGAGTTGAAACTAGATAGAGAGATTGAAGAAGATACCATCGGAATCGATTGGATCGGAGAGAGGGTGTACAATCGAAATCACTTGTTGCTTTTCGTTTTACGCTTTGTAGAAGGAAGCAAACGTAGCGGAGGAGCGTAGTATGAGTAGAGAATGCGTTTTGAAGAAGATGAAAGAGGCGGAAGAGGTTGTGGCCGACTTTTTTATATACTGAAGATTTTAAATATATATATTAATATCTGGAATTGTTGATTACACAACAAAATTGAGTTTAGGGTTTTTGATAAATCGTTGACAACTAGTTTATGAGGGAAAATAAAACATATTAATTATTTTTTGAGAAAAACATAAGAAACATACGAAGTTAAATTTTTATTTGTATATTAGAAAAACCATTTTTTAAGTTATTTAAGGACGGTTACAGAAAAAAACTATTAAAATAGATAATTATATTCCTAAATGAAATAAGATTTTTATTAAAATTTATAAAGTGTCAAATTTTTGTCAATACATGATTGACAAAAACTATATATACGTTTTGTACACTAGATGATTAAAGTCAAACTTGTCTCTTGTGAAGAGAGCAGAGCTAAACAACCTAGGCCGTCAATTTTTTTGTCGTTAATGAGTATGTCAATTTATACTCTTTAACACTGGACGATTTATTCTATTAAAATAAAGTCATTCTTTTTATCTACTGATACAAGTTGTCATTTAAATTTAGACATTTTCTAAAATGTTACAAATAATACAAGTTATATAATTGATTGAACCGCATTACTTAAACTAAACCGGTGATTATTTATGGAATAGAGTTTCGGGCTTACTTTTGTTTTTATGACATTTAATTGTTTGGTTTTTGGGCTTAGTATTAAAGAAAAACTCAAAAAACATTAAATAAACTTTCCACATTAATAGATCAAAAATCAATTACTAATTTCAGGCCCAAAAATATTTAACATTTTCAACAAAACAAAATTATCTATTATTAATCACTTATTTAAATCATGTACTTTAAAACATGTTAATATTTTTAGCCCAAAATATTTAATATTTTCAACAAAACAAAATTATCTATTATTAATCAATTATTTAAATCATGTACTTTAAAACATGTTAATATTTTTTATTTTAAACAAAAATCACTCTATCTTGATAAATTTTAATGGTAACTTTTAAATAATTTATTGTTTTATTTTTCTTAAATAATTTACAGATTTAAAAAAAAATGTAAAGCAAAACCAAAAACCAAATCTAAAAAATAAAATCCAAAACCAAAAGCTGAAAAACGCAGGTTATATTTTTTGCTTTTTTTTTATTACAAAATAAACTATTTCAAAATTTTTAGAAAATTATTTTGTCATCTTTTCAGTTTTAAATTACATGTTCGATTAATTGAGATTTGTTTGTTGGTAATATCAGTTCAAACTAACTTAACAGGTCTAAAAATTAAAAACCCAAACCATTTTCTAGAATGTTACAAATAATACAAGTTATAAAATTGATTGAACCGCATTACTTAAATTAAACGGTGATTATTTATGGAATAGAGTTTTGGGCTTACTTTTGTTTTTATGACATTTAATTGTTTGGTTTTTGGGCTTAGTATTAAAGAAAAACTCAAAAAAAATATTAAATAAACTTTCCACCTTAATAGATCAAAAATCAATTACTATTTTCAGGCCCACAAATATTTAATATTTTCAACAAAACAAAATTATCTAATTATTAATAACTTATTTAAATCATGTACTTTAAAACATGTTAATATTTTTAGCCCAAAATATTTAATATTTTCAACAAAATTATCTATTATTAATAACTTATTTAAATCATGTACTCTAAAACATGTTAATAATTGTTATTTTAAACAAAAATCACTCTATCTTGATAAATTTTAATGGTAACTTTTAAATAATTTATTGTTTTATTTTTCTTAAATAATTTACAGATTTAAAAAAAAATGTAAAGCAAAACCAAAAACCAAATCTAAAAACTAAAATCCAAAACCAAAAGCTGAAAAACGCAGGTTATATTTTTTTCTTTTTTTTATTACAAAATAAACTATTTCAAAATTTTTTAGAAAATTATTTTGTCATCTTTTCAGTTTTAAATTACATATTCGATTAATTGAGATTTGTTTGTTGGTAATATTAAATAGAAACTTAAAAATTAAAACCCAAAAAAATCAAAATCTAAAACAAAATCTAAAAATAAAAATTGAAACTACAAATTAATTAAAAACAATCATCACCACAAATTTTGGGGCACTGATTTTATACCAAAACATTCTTTAAATTAAGACAAAACCCCAATTATATAAATTTTTAATCATAAAAAATTTGGGTAATATCAGTTCAAACTAACTCAGCGGATCTAAAAATTAAAAACTCAAACCAAAAGCTGAAATCAAAAATAGAAACTTAAAAATTAAAACCCAAAAAATCAAAATCTAAAACAAAATCTAAAAATAAAAATTGAAACTAAAAACTAATGAAAAACAATCATCACCACAAAGTTTGGTGAACTGATTTTATACCAAAACATTCTTTAAATTAAGACAAAACCCCAATTATATAAATTTTTAATCATAAAAAATTGGGTAATATCAGTTCAAACTAACTCAGCGAATCTAAAAATTAAAAAACTCAAACCAAAAGCTGAAATCAAAAATAGAAACTTAAAAATTAAAACCCAAAAAATCAAAATCTAAAACAAAATCTAAAAATAAAAATTGAAACTAAAAACTAATGCAAAACAATCATCACCACAAATTTGGGTGAACTGATTTTATACCAAAACATTATTTAAATTAAGACAAAACCCCAATTATCTAAATTGTTAATCATAAAAAATTTCCGCGCTTTTAAGCGCGGGTCAAAATCTAGTTGAGTTTAAATTAGAGAGAGTTACATGTTTAGACACATTTTCTCTTTTCTTTTCATTAAAAGACACTTCATTGGAAGTAAACACATTATTTGTACGGCGGTGACATTTAAATACGAAAATACCCTTTAAAACTAAAGAAAGTGGACTGAGAATCATACTAAAATTAAAAAAAAAAGACAATCTTATATATAATAGTACAGTTTTTAAGCTCCTCAGCGTGCCACCTCAGCATCAAGTGGGTCCCACTTTAAAAATGTGAAAAAATGTCAAACGCATGATTCGAACCCGGGTTATTAAGATAATAACACTAACCTTCATACCACTAAACTAAAGGATAACTTGTACATTGATGGCCGAAACTAATATATATTTATGAAAGCCAGAAGCTCTTGCTTCTTTTGCTTTCTTTAAAGGTCGGACCTGCAAGTGTATTCTAGGTTTCATTTTTAATTGGACTTCATCACGTTATATGAAGAAAATCTTCAAGTTTACAACAGTTATAGTTTTTCCATATTGTAAACCATCGTCATTTAACATGAGTTAAGATTCCTAATCTATCTGAGTTACAGAGCTGCACCGTGTGTCTTTTCATAATCTATTTTTCACTGGTGAAGTTTTCATCTCCCCATCTTACATCGCTTGATCATAAATGTTCCTGATTTGTAACCCCTCTGTAAATCATATATATATGATTCTCATGGTTGATGAACCCTATCTACATTTCCACAAAACTCATTGATTCCTATTAACTTTAACCATCTTCTAGAATATATCTCNTAAATGAAACTAATAACATTAGAAACAAAGTCATACAACAAATTCAAACCTTCTTATTTTAGGTTCTGAGAATGCAGAATCAACAGAGGTTCACTGAGTGGAATGCAACGGAGACAGCCTTAAATGAGGTGAGCAAATCTCTCTGCTATAACGCTATAGAATAACTATAATTTCACAAACTGACACACTAAAAACGCAATCAGACCAAAAATCACAAGAGCTTGTCACACTGCTGAAGACGACAAGGAGAAACAAAAAGGGTGAGTAAATGGATATTCCAGTTTCAGACCTAAACTGAGACTCAAGGGTCATTGAATTTCAAGTCCAATCATTTAAAACCTAGCTACTACATTTTCATTGTTAGAATATATACCTATACCACTTTAAACTTTTAAATCCACCATTTTTATTTTTTAAACTACCACAAAATATTTTTGACAAATACAAAAAAGTCAACTATCTTAGTCATACATATATATAATTATACGAAATTATATCATTATTAAACTATTATTATATATTTTCAAAAATATGTCATGGCACATCAAAAAAGAACAAACTATATATCCTTTCGGATAACAAAATTGTTTCTTCTTCGTTACCATATTAGAGTTGTATATTAACAAACATCTATGTTTGGCTACATATGGTTATTAAATTGCTAATAATTTTAAGATCCAATTAAATCGTACAAAAAATGTAAAAATACGAACACGTATGAATTCGTTAAACATTCTTATCTGCAAATAAAAACAGTTCTTTACTCACTAATAAATATTAACCCCTGAACGTTCCGCACAACCCCTTGACAACCATGTTTCACCTTTTTCTCTTCAGTCCATTAAACTATATTTCTTTGTATAATTTAAAAAAAAAAATATTTTTTTAAAAAAATGCCAATTCACTATTCAACGATGATTTACTACCAACCTACAAATTAGACATTAACAACCCAATAAATCACCTATCCCGGACATGAAAGCACTAATAACACAAATATTCGAGAAAATTATTATTAAAATAGTATATGAATATTTCAAAGCATATGAACTCTCACTCATTCGTATATCAACTCAATTCAATCCGGTTTTGGTTAAACCCCGAAGAAAAAATCTCCCAAAACAAATGATAAAATCTCATCCATAAAATATTACAACATATCATTACTGTCTCCTCCCCCGCACTTGCGCGGAGACTATGAACCTAGTAATATATACTACCTACAAAATTCGGAATTCAATGGTAAAGAGCTAAAAACACATTTTTGAGTGTTATGGATGAGTAATACATGGATGAGAAACGATAGAGGAAAGAAGTGTAAATAACGAGAGTAAATTGTATGGATGGCGTACCCACAAATTGTTTTTGCCATATTTCATCCACACCGCAGCTTCCACCTTAGTATATCCACCATCACACCTTCCATGTATCCATCTACATCACCGCTGAATCCACCTTCACTTCTTCCACGTTTGTATCCACAAC